GAGGCAGGGAGAACTCTCTGGGTCCAGAAAGCCAGATGGGATTTTCCAGAGGAGGTTGTATCTAAGAGAATATTCTTACACAGTCCATCTCAGGGTGTCTATTTTAATACGCTTTCCAAGAAGATAGTAGCAGACTCACAAAGGTGACATCATTGAAGCTCCTCCGTTCCTATCCCAAGAGGTGAAGACTGGAGGAGTGGACCAGTTCTATTTCCTCTTTTCCTCAAATGATTGCAGCAAGCAGCAAAATGCCTGGCTTTAGTGTTCATATTGATGAAACAGAATTCTGCCCCAAACTTACCTTTCTACGTCAATGTGGTCTTGAGTTCTATTGCAAACTGTAGAAGAAACGTATTCTTAATTTAAGTAATGGAGGTATTATCAGTCAATCGGTAAAAATTAAGGGGGTGTTTCCTAGGGGTGGACTCTGTTATAGGCAGTCCTGGCCCACCCACCCCTCTCTTTTACCCTCTTCTTCCCTTTAGTCCTCCTCTATCCATCAGAATCATCTAGACCTAAGCTCTCTCCCAAGGGCCTAGATGTAGCAGAGCCAGCTCCTCGAAGCTCATGCAGATCCTCTGGCCCAAATCTGGTTTAGATTCTTCTCTCCTGTCCACATCTCTATGACTGTACTCATTACACTGAGCTATCATTGCTTAGGGTGAGTTCCTTCAAGATGTGGAGCCATGTTTTATTCATCTCTGTATCCCCATAATAGTACCTAGCACATAGTAAGTGTGGAATAAAGAATGTTGAGTGATTGAATGAATGACTACATCTGTAGACAATGGACAGGGCCACTATCTCTATGGCTAACTCCCAAAACAACCTTAAATGGGAAATAAGTTACTGGGTTATAATAACATAAAGCAGAAACTATCTTCACTTTGCCGAAATTGTCAATGTGGTATAGGTAGGACAGACTGACAGTCTTTCCTCTTAGTATTTCATCACTCACACAGAGCCATTTATTTGGCTACCTCACCTGTCTAGAACACTGCTAGCACTGAGAGCTTGGCAAGAAAAGCCTTCATACAGCAAATATAATAAGTATCCGAAAGCTCATATGTCAAAGAAAGAGTAGCCCAGGCTCGCTCTCAAATACTAGATTTACCTTCGATATAATTCTATAAAGGTCCCTGGGTGGCGCAAACGGTTAAGCACTTGACTACTAGCCAGAAGGCTGGTGGTTTGAAACCACTCAGAGGCACCTCGGAAGACAGGCCTGGCAATCTGCTTCTGAAAGATCACAGCCTTGAAAACCCTATGGAGCAGTTCTACTCTGTACACATGGGGTCGCCATAAGCTGGAATCGACTCAACAGCAACTAACAACAGCGTTAACTGAAAGGTTGGTGGTTAAAACCCCCCAGTGATGCCATGGAAAAAAGGCCTGGCGATCTGCTTCCGTAAAGATTACAGCCAAGAAAACCCTGTGGAGAAGTTCTACTCTGTAACACATTGGGCTGCCATGAGTTGGATTCAACTTGATAGCAATGGGCTTGGTTCTTTTGTAGTGTGTTTGTTTATAATTCTAAAGAGTGTTACATTCTGGTTCAGAGATAAACCGTACATAAGGGGTGTGTGTGTGTGTGTGTGTGTGTGTGTGTGTGTGTGTGTGTATGTGTGTGTTGAAAAAGGCACATTTAGTGAAGTGGCAAATAGCTCAATGCAGAGAGGCTTCTGTACAGTGAAAAATAATAAATGTCCATGTCCATGACTTTGAATTTTCAAAGAAGCTGCATTTTGTTTTCTGTAAGTTGTTACAAGGAAGGGAAACAGGCATTTTATAGTTTTTTTGCTTGTTTTATCAAAATGGTTAGAATGAAAATGGAAACCAAATGGACTCATAGTGACCCTATAAGACAGAGTAGAACTGCCCCATAGGTTTCAAAGGAGCAGCTGGTGGATTCGAACTGCCAACCTTTCAGTTAGCAGCCGAACTTTAAACTACTGCGCCACCAGGGCTCCTGAAAATGAAAAAAAGTAGCCCCTAAAAGAGTAAGTTTAGATATTTGGAAATTACACTCATGTGAAACCCTTCATATCCTGATGTTGCCAGATAAGTGAGGTGTATGTATGGACAGTGAATTCACCTATGCACACCTTGTACAGCGAAACTAAGGCCAATAACCTCCCTGCTGGTGGGAGTGATGTCCCAAGTCTTGCATCTTTCAGTTACTGAGACTAAAATCTCCTAGTCTACATTTAGTCTTCAGATGCTTTTAAAATTTTGGATCAATTAGTCATTCTTCCCTTCCTATTTTTTCCATTGTAACTTTGGACTCAAGCTGTCAAGCTTCCCAGGCCCATGTTGCCATAGGAGACTCTGTTTGTTTAGGGTGGAGTGGCTGTTTTTGGCAGGTTGGGGGAGGAGCAATTAATTCTAATAGGTATATAGTAAATTAAATACTTGGGTCTTTCCAACCTTTTCTTTGTATTTCTGCTCCTTTTTATAAGTTCCCTTCTCTTCTCAGATGACCCTTTAAGAGCAGAAAAGAAGCAGCTTCTAGAAATCATTTCTAGGCTATAGTATTCGAAGTCCAGTGGAACCCAGAGAAGGTCACCTAGACCACTGCTTCTCTTTTCAATGTACCTTCTCTCATGTTCCTGAGATAAGAAGCTACCCTTGGGAAAGACTATGGAAGAAAAATTCCCCAGGATCCCTTATTAACCCACTCAAGTATTTTAGTTGTTCTCAAGAAAAGGAAGATCTTCTTTAGCTCTACCTTTAATACCACTACTGAAGACCATGCTTACATATAGAAAAGTATTCTGGGTATTCTTTGGATCTTCATAGACAATTACATGAAAAAGAAATAAGGAACAGATTAAGTTTCACCAGTGAGTCAGGCAGGGTTGGAGGGAAAGTAACAAATGCAGTATTTGATGAGGAAAATATATTCCAAACACTTAAAAAACAACCTTTGAGGAATCTCAGTAAATATATCTGGCCCTCCTGGGAAGACCCAAGAGCATCCATAGCTGTTAAGAACGCAGCTCTTTGTATTTTGACGTCTATCATTTGGCTACAATTTCGGACCCAAATCTTGATTATATAGTTATTGCAAGCCAGAGTAACTGGCTCCAGTGTTAAAGACACATAGTCATCTCGGAATCTTTGTCTTTGATCCCAGTGAGGCCCGTGTTGAAAACAGAATGCATTTTCACTTCCTGCTCTCAACCAACATTGCTGTGCAGCTGTGGGACAGCTGTTAGCTTCTACCCCACAAGTAGCAGCATTTCAGTGGTTGGCAAACTGGTATACATCTGGTACAATATTCAGATGACCTCAGGACCCCATAGAACAAATTAAAACATTGAAGTAATAACTTGGATGTGCTTGCTGTGATGTAACTCAATTGCTGAAAATTATTTAATGGCGATTTTTGAATTTAGTGATTCATCTCATCAAAGCACAGTCAAATAGGGAATAGTCCATGTAGTTGACATTTAAGAAGGGTAGGGGGAGAGAAAATAACTTGAAAACATATAGACTGGAAGGTGGCCTCAGAACTTGGGAGTCTATAGACTGTTTTGTGGCCCAAGTCATTGACTGCGAGGTGTTTCCTGAGGCTTTGCAGTTGGGCATCAGCTCAGGATGAAGAGTAGCCAATGTTATTGAGTAGGTGGGCTGAATGGTGTGCCCTCTAGGAGTTAGTGTGGCCTCTAGGATGATGTGGGACAGTACTTCCCACCAGAGATGGCCTCTCTGGAGAAACAGCGCATTGGGATGTTGAGTTACTGTTTAACCACTTGTTGCTGTTCTTATCATACGTTTCCTTTTGGGGTAATACACTCCATTAACTCTGGTTTGGCCTGGGCGCCTTTCCCATTTTGGTTCCTGTTAACTTGCAGCAGTAACAGGAGAGAATGGAAACAGTTTAGCTTTCTCTGCTGTAACCCTGTGGTCTAGCTGCTGTGCTGGGGGTGGCTGTACAAGTGGGAATATTTCTGTTCCAGCGCTGGTTTCACCAGAGCTACGGGACCCCACACCCTGGACAGTTATCATAGTACCCAGTCCCCAGGCACTAGGGTCTCTAAGCACCAGTCTTCACTGTACCAAGAGGGGGATGGAGGTTATGACCCTTAATCTGCAAGAAGCAGCAAAGAGTCAAGATATATGGTTTCTAATCCCCAAATCTGCCTGACCCTAGCTATGTAACCCACGATAATTCTCGTCATCTTTATGCATTTCAGTTTCCTCACTGGTAAAATGGAACTTTTAAAGCCAACCCTGCCTAATCCACAGGCTTTTTTACGATGGCCAACAGAGTTAAACTATACAAAACCATTTTATAACCTATGTAATATAACCACTAGTTGCTGACAAGTTGACTTCAATACTTGGTGACCCTATGTGTGTCAGAGTAGAACTGTGCTCTATAGGGTTTTCAATGACTGATTTTTCAGAATTAGATCTCCAGGCCTTTCTTCCACGGCCTCTCTGGGTGGACCTGAATCTCCAACCATTCAGTTAGCAGTCAAGCGCGTTAATCATTTGCACCACCCAGGGACTTACATAATATAAAACAAAAAACCAAACCTATTGCTGTTGAGTCGATTCCAACCCATAGGGACCCTATGAGACAGAGTATAAATGCCCCATAGGATTTCCAAGGAACGGCTGGTGGGTTCGAACTGCCTACCTTTTCGTTCGCAGCAGTAGCTCTTAACCACTACACCACTAGGGTTTCCATAAGGACCTCTTATTACAAGACAGCAGGAAAATTGATCAAGTAGTTTAAATAAGCATTCAGTTCCTTCAATAGCACAGGCGTAAGAGCTGCAGGTGATAGTTGACCATCTCTTAGGTCCAATGGTCTTATCTGGCGACTTTTCAACTTGTTGAGAATGTTAGGTCAATTTGTATCCTACCCTGGGGTTGCTCTTCCATAATCTCTCTCCAATCCCCGGATCATATTGGATGCAGAGGATGGGGAGAGCAGGGTGAGTCATAGTGAAGCTGAATGAGACACTGACCTGCCATCTTCTTACCAGCCTTTCCAAGCAGATGGTTGGTGTGATACTATCAACAACCGGGCCTATTGCCACTATGATGGAGGAGACTGCTGCTCTTCCACACTCTCCTCCAAGAAGGTGAGTGAGGGTACCTGGGAGAGGTGGGAGAGGGCAGCAGCTCAGGGATAAAGGCAGACGCCTTGACTAGCTCTTTTTCATAGGGTATCATAATGAGCTTTTATTAAGCAGTCAGGAAGGAGAATTAAGATGAACAAACATTGGAACTTCTAAAGGGATAAGATTAAGGGTAATGGACTTTAGCGTGGCTTCATAGAAAACACTCGTTCTCTAATTGTCGGTGTGGTGACTCCTTCAGAAAAGCATGGCCCTGTCCGTGCCTACCGGAAGACTCACACCTGCTTATCGCTTTCCATGGAACTTCTGTGTAGGGAAAATACCAGCCCTCACCTCTTGGGGAAGCAGGATTACCAATGAGGTGCTAACCAGTTATTATTAATCTTCACAATTAAGTTAATGATTCTATATAGTGTGTTACGAGCATATTGTGGGCACATGTTGAGCAGCCGCCGCAGCCAGCTGGAGCACACTCTGGACCACATCCTCAGTAGGAGTGCTTTTCTTGATACCCTTTAACCCTCTTACACTTGGATCTGTTCAAGCAGATATACTGGAACTAAACCTATAAAATCAAATAGGTTGAAATTTTGTGATAATATGGGTAAAAATCCAAGGGCTCCAAAGATACTGGGAGCTAGTTGGCCAATTTGATAAATAGCAAAATATGCAAGAAATATGCAGATGTTAAATTTCCTTTCTTGTACTTGTCTCCACAATAAAGCCACACCTACCATCATTACCCATACACAGACCACAACTCCTAATTGCTAATACTGGGAGCACTCATTGTGTGCCAGGCGCTGTTCTCACCACTTTCATGACTGAACTTATTTAATGCTGAACACTCAGGGGCTGGTCATATCAGTGTGCAATCTGGCCTTTTGCTTTAAAAACCAATAAATTCCAAACCAAGAGCAATGGATCGAGAACAGGGATTGCAGATCAGAAATCACGCCAACTAGTTTCTAGTCTCACTTGGAAAAAGAAACTGGTCAAGGAGTCTCCCTCTACATAGGAAGGCATGATCTCTAGGGAGAAAGCAACCCATTGCCTCCTCATCTCACATTCTGCAAATATGGATTTATCTTTAATGAAGGGCCTGTGGCCAACATACCCAAGAATCAGGACTGAGAAGTCACATCACCCTTCTGTTGACTCCTAGACCACATTTTACTTCAAGTGTGCAAACATACTGGGAAATTTACCCAAACAACCCCACCCATTCTCCAGCCCACCTGCCCTATTACCTACCCCTCTTCAGCATAGTTGGACCATTAGTGTGTGATATGCCTATTTATTTTTATTCTCATTTAATTGCCAGTGCCCAAAGAGTAGGATCTTTGCCACTTTTCCATCATGAATTCCAAGTGCCCAGTTCTCCGATGCTAGTTATGGACACTCAGAAAGTAGTGTTTGTCTGTTGGTACCAGTGAAACCAGGAAGATAGCAAATTGTGCTTAACCACCCAGGGCATGGGGAGGGGCAGTTACATAGGTGGAAGGCAATCCAGCCGCCAACAGTGCCATGGGGGAGATGCAAAGTGTATTTTGGGTTTAACAAACAACCTACTGAGTTGATTCCTGACTCACAGGTGACCCTATAAGACAGAGTAGAACTGCCTCATAGGGTTTCCAAGGAGTAGCTGGTGGATTCGAACTGCTGACCTTTTGGTTAGCAATTGAGCTGTTAACCACTGTGCCACCAGCGCTCCATTTTGGGCTTAAGAAGGACAAAAACCCATGCTTATGAAGGTGACAAAGATGATTCTATTGCTCCCAAGAACACCAAGAAGTAGGATTCTGAGAGCTAGGCTCTAGAGTCTTGACTTTAGATTTTGTGGAGATTTAGCAACAACAAAAACAATAATAGTAGTTGTAGAAATTGGTGGTAATACATAAGTAGCAGTAACAGCATTTATAGAGAAATTTCTAGATACCTGGCAATGTATAAGCAGTTTACACTCATTGTCTTATTTAAACCACACAAATAACCTTGGGGTAGGTAGGTACTACTGATCTCTCCACTCTACATATGAAGAAAGTGAAGGAAGGGAGGATTACTTTGCCTAAGGCATCATGGTGTGGAAGTGAGAGACCTGTGTTGAATTTCAGTTTTGTGGTATTAACACCCACCCTTCCTTTAGGACCAAGTGAGAAAAATGAAAGCTGGTTGAAAAGTATGAAGCTCATTACAACATTCTGTTATTTCAACTCTTCTTTGACTCCCCTAGGTCATTCCATTTGCTGCTGACTGTGACCTGGATGAATGCACCTGCCGAGACCCCAAGGCAGAAGAAAATCAGTAACTGTGGGATCCAGCCCCTCTCTCCACTGCCCTGGAGGCAGTAAGAAAGAGAGGTCACCACCCCAGGAGGAAACAAAGGGTGAATGAAGAAGAAAGGTCATGAAAAGAAGGAAGAAGAGTGTGTAGGAATGCAAGAGGATATTTATTGCATCAAGTGGCCCAAGTAGGGAAGGATCATAGGCAAAAGTTTCTTCAAAGTGACTGTTGATTAAAAGTGGAAGGGGAGATATGATAGATATACAAGGACCCTCCTCCTTCAATTATATTCTACTCAACCCCCATTCTCAACTCTTGCCCTACTCCCCACTCTGCACTCTGCCAACTATTCAGCCCCACCCAACTTGTAAACCAATACCAAAATACTAGAAGAAAAGGGACACTCTGTTAATATCCATTTTGAATGGTTTGCCATTTTTCAGGGCTTGTCTACTCTAAACCGGCTCCCCCACCCCACCTTTTTTTGTGTAGTCTCCCTTGATAATAATAAGGTTAGTTATTAATTCTTTATAAGTATTTAAACATAATTATATAAATATATAATATTTTTTGCTGTCTACTAAGCTGAAAATTATCCATTGTTCCACACATGCTGCTGTGAAGTTCATGTCCAAAATGAATGCTGAGGGTTTGAGAACAGATGGGCAAGTCCTTCTACCATCTTTCTGTTGATTGGTAGGTAGAGTGGGAAGTAGAGATTGAGAAAGAGAGATTAGGTGGAGTTCTTAATGTTACCATGTTAACTGATCATCTTTTTATGAGCTGGGAGCTAGGCCCACTTTGAGGAGATGGGGGGTTGCTATGGCAATACTAAGAGGCATGGAAAGTTGCATGTAAGTACCCATTGTTGATGGGCCCAGGAGAACTAGACTATGGTTCTTGAGTGTCCATCCAAAAAGAATATATTAAGTTCTCTCCACTTCTCAGAACTCTCAGCTGGAGTTGGTGAGACCTAGGATTTTCTCCACTTTCACATGTGTCTTTTGCAGGTATGGCTCTCAGCCAGCCAATCAGTCAACAAGTGTGTATTAGGTTTAATTCCCTGATCACCAAGATCACAAAACTCACGCACTCCTCATACTTGGCCTGTGTCCTCACTCCTTGTTAGAAGTCCCCAAGCCTGGCCATCATTCATAGCCACATGCTAATTTGTTGATTTTCTGAAAAGAATTTTATGGAAGTGACTTGGGGAAAGGTGGGAACAGATTGGAAGAATAGGCAGGGGTGGAGGAGCCGAGGGAGCCTCAAGAGAGGTGAGAGGTCAGGTTTAAATCAGGCCCCAGAGCCAGAGAATGAATTGAGTCAAGGAGACTCAGCCCTTGTTCCAAGTCTCCAAAGAAGACCAAAGGGTGCCATTTGAGCAGAGAGGAGTCCAAGGTAAATTCTATTCAAATGTGACGTTTAAAATCTGTGACCCTGAGATAGCTACTTGAGCAAGCTATGGAAACACGTGGAGCAAGGGTGACACTCTGTGGGGAGAGAGAAGAATTTCAACTATTGAGGGTCCATTTTGTTGTCCTTACCTTCATTATAAGAAATGGTCACTTTAACCTGCCTGTATTTACATCCTAGGCTGTCTATTTTTGCATGTGGTCTATTGAAGTTAGGTTTTCTTTATGATGACTCCTGGAATAGGCTGGGAGAAGGAAAGTGATTTCTGTCCAACATGTCAGTCTAATCGTTTTAGGAAAGGCTGTGAGGCTAATTATCTCCCTGAAAGTTTCTTCTCCAATGGAAATGAAAAACTGGCATAAAATAGGAGCTCCACCTTGCTCTTTTCAGATTGGCTGCTCTTTGTTCTGGCCACAGTTTTTATTTGTTTATTTTTGCTTGTTTGTTTGTTCTGTTTTTAATTCAACACAGAGGCATTGCCTGTGCAAATAGGTAGAGGAAATGCTACCCACCGCTATCTTGAACCAGACTTCGTGTAGAAAAGAACAATTTTCTGGAATGGAAAAATCAAGGAAAAGGGGGATATACACATATTTATCTGTGGGGAGATGTGATAAGGGTGGTAAAGGCATTGAGAAAGGAAAGAACAGAGTTTATCCATCAAAAAACTCTCATCCTCTATATTTCTAGCCCGTAAGGGAGACTATAGCCTAGATACCATTCACTTCCTGGTTTCACACTTACTGCCCCAAAGAAGATGAATATTTCTGGGACTCTGGTTGATAGGCTTTAATATGGGAAGAATAGCAGAAAAGCTTAGATTCTTCATCTTTAAAAAAAGTGTTGTAAAATGGTTTTCTTAGGGAAAGTATCCAAATTCCTGGAAGCATGGCAAGCGCTGCCTTGGGTAATCCTGCCTTGTCTAGGGATGGAGAAGAGGAGTCGTGGTCCCGGGTGTTCCCCAGCTCAGGGAAGGCTGCAGCCCCACACAAGCAGAGGGAGACTGTGTTTCATTACAGTGTGTGTCTGTGCTCAGATTCGCCGCAGAGTAACACTGACAGCATTTTTGTCTCATACTTCATTTTAAAATTATTTAATTCTCTGTTGGCAACATCTGCAATTCACCGCTGCCTGGGGAAGGCGAGAGGATAGTTTCCGTGCGTGTGAAAAGCCTCTCAGGCTGAAGGTCGCCCAGCCGTCTCAGCTCTAGCCCTTCAGAGATGGTAGGTTCTTCTAACCCTTGTTCCTGAGGCCTAGCGTTTTCAGATCTGACTACTTCTCAGGTCACTGATAATGTGGAAGAACTAAGACCCATGGTCAGAGGTCCCCAGAGGATGTCACCTCCACGTGGTGGTCCGCACTCTGCTGCTCTTACTCACTCATGGGACCACTGATGGCCTTTCCCAGGAGCTCTTTGGTCTGTTTCCTTCTCGTTTTTTTGTCTTGTTTTCTTCTGAAATCCCTTCTCTACTTCCTCTTTTGCCTCTTTTGGGAGTGCTAATGCCCAGGCCTCCCCGGGCTATTGTTGTTGTTAGCTACCATCCAGTGGGGTCTAAATCGTGGTGACCCCATGCACAATGGGACGAAACGCTGCCAGGTCCTGCACTATCCCCATGATCAGCTGAAAATCGGACTGTTGTGCTCCATAGCATTTTCACTGGCTGATTTTCAGAAGGAGATTGCCAGGCCTGTCTCCCTAGTCCAAGGCTACCTGACTCTGATAACTATCATGCCAGCCTCTAACCAGAGAGATACAGAGAGAATGGAGTGAGAATGGGCAGATACCAGCAAACTGTACATGAAAGTAAAGAGCTATTCTCGATTCCCTCCTTTCCTTTCCTCCAGTAGAAGGCATTGGACTTGGCACATCCCCTACTCCGTGAGACTGCTATTACGTGCATCAGTTAGCATCCCAAGGGAATGGCTTGATTGGGAACTGTAGAGAAAGAAGCTGATCTACTGTATTGTAATGTAAAACAGCTACAGTTATTTTGTAAGACTATAAGATGTTCATTAAAAAAAACCAGCACACAAAACGTTAAGTGTCTTTGGTGTCTTATTCTTTATTTAAATCATCCCTTCACTTCCAAATCATTTTCCATTTGCTTGAGGCAAGTCTAGGCATCAATCATTGATTAATTGATTGTTGGATCAATCCTTTCAGGCATTCAAAAAATTTATTAAGTAACTTGTATGTGTAAGGGAGGTAAAACATGACAGCTCATGAGAAGAGATGACATATACAAATGTAAAGTACACAGTAGTAATGTTAAGTGTCTCATGAGTTGTAGAAATAAAATGCAAAAGTCATTTACAGTTTGGAGGAAGGAGGTGTCATTTCTGGATGCCAGAAGATAGGTAGCATTTGAAAAATGGTCCTTGAAGGATGCATATGATTTTGATATGCACACATGGGGGATGGAAGAGAGGGAAGTTCAGACAAAGTGAAGAACAGGGTTGAAGATGTGGAGGTAAGGACGGGAAAAGGCTGCGCAATGTTGAGATATCCCGTATAGTTAGAATGCAGAACTGAGCTAACACCTGCCATGCAATTTATAAGCATAATTTTAAACCTCAAAACAGTTGTACAAATTGTATATTCTCATTTCACAGATGAGGGCACTGAGCCTCAGTCTGGTGAAAAATGTTTCTCAAGGTCATATGGCTGGAGTTAGTTTCCAGCCTAGTTCTGTGAGACAGCAAGATGTAGGATGGAAAAGAAAATAAGATGGGGGAAGCAGAGGGAGAGAGGTGGACAGAAATGCCAAAGATGATGCCTCTGCTTTAAGCCTACACAACACATAAAGATTGTTATCACTGACAGAAAAGGGAAGCCAGGAAAAGGAGCAGGCTTTGGAAGAAAGTAGATACTTGCTTTTAGGTAAACTCAGTTTGAGGGCCAGATAGATTATGAGTTGGAAATGTCACGTAAAGCAGTGAAGGAGGTTCCTGCAGCTAGAGGAAGCTTGCCAAGTTCTCTGGCCAGCCAGCTGGCTACCCTAATGGCTGGGTGGCTCTCTCAGCACACCTGTGAGCTATTGGGAAGACCAGTGGAGTAGATTGAGTTCCTGGGAGGTGCAAATGGTTAATGGGCACTCAGCTGCTAACCAAAAGATTGGAGGTTCAAGTCCACTGAGAGGCACCTCGAAAGAAACTTTCGGCAATTTACTCTTAAGAAATCAGCCACTGAAAACCTTGTGGAGCACAGTCCTACTCTGACACACACGGGCTTGTCATGAAACAAAATCAACTCGATGGTAACGGGTAACGGGTAGAGTAGATAGTTGGAAATGTGCTCTTAGAACTTGGGAGGGATATTTGTGGCTAGAAAGAAACATTTGAGAGTAAAAATAACATTACCTGACGTTTTCTTTATGGTTTACAAAGTGTTTTCATATGGTTTATTGCTTTTGATATTCTCAAAAAAACATTTTTTTGAGCAAGAACAATTTTTTTTTTCCATTTTACAGATGAAGAAACTGAGTGTTGGAAAGGTTACTGAAACATTTAAGTTTACATAGTTAAATGCAGGTTGGGATGGGAGTCCAAGTTTTTTGTCTCCAAATATAATGTGCTTTCCACTACATAATGTTCAGTGCACCAGGACCAGAGTAAACCCAGACCCAGGTGCAATGGGAAAGTTTAATGTCTTGTTACCTGTTTATGTTTTAAGGTGTCCACTGTCTCCCTTGTGGCTTTCTTAGTAGCTGAGTCTATTTTCTCTCCTGCCTGTTGTCCATGGCAAATGGTAGGAAAACTGAGGGCAAACCTTCTTGAGCACCTTCCAGGGCCCTCTCCTCATGCCAGGCCCTGAGTATAAGCAGATACCCTGCACATGCCAGTTAGGCCAGCTGAACTGAAACATCTGGCAGGGCTGCCTTCTCCCTAATAGCTTCCCCAGGGAGTGTCCTGGACAGAGACTGGAGCTCTGGTTTCCATTGACTGACAAACTTACATGACCTGATGAGTCA